AGACTGAGAATAGCTAGGAGGCAGGAGACAGAGGCTGGCTGGGGGCCAGAGAGAGAGGTGGAAACATGACTACAGAGTTAATATCTTTATGATCTAGAAATAAAACAAAACAATGCCCTAAAACCCTGGCGCTGAACAAGAGAAAAGTCAGATCTCTACCTACTACAAACAGTGAAGTCAAGTTTCATACATGTAATGAAAGGGACCCTACACACAGACACACACACACACACACACACACACGCACGCACGCACGCACGCACGCACACGCACACTATTACAAATGCGGATGTGATAGCATATGACTTTAATTCTAGAACTCAAGAGGCAGAAGCCTGTTTTACTTAGTAAAGTTCCAGGATAGTGAGACCCTGTCTCAAACAAAAACAAACCTCAAACCAAACAAATGCCTGAACCATACAACAAATATATTAATGCATAATTATAGTAGGGAACAAAAAACACTAATCAATGTCAATTTAGAAATTCTTCTGAAAGAAGAGTTACAGCTTGAAAGGCTAAAGAGAAATGAAACAAAAGTGTTTTCAGATGCTGTATGCCAATTTGTGTTCTCAAAAGACAATGGTTTGAAAGCTGCAGTGGCCTTGTGTACAGACTAGAATTGGACAGATAAATGGCAACTATGAGCCAAGTTTACAGAAAGAACAGACATACAAAGCATAGTCAGGAACATACATGGACATACACATCAACTCTAACCATGTTGGCCCAACAGACATGCAGGGCTTAGCTGTGGCTTAGGAGAGCCTCAGATACCCAATGGCAGTGAGTGTCCTGCTGGCCTTGTGGCTTTCTAAATGCTGCTCTACCATAAAAGAACACAGTTTGTTGGAACAAGGGATGTGCAAGATGACCCTGAGGGCTCCTGTGGTGGCTGAAAGCAAGCATTTGCAAGGATGCAGAACCCAACATAAAGAAATTAAGTGCTAATACGGACCTAATGTGAACAGCGTAAGACTCAAGCAATGCTCTAACTCAGAGAACAGTGGCTTCACACTGCTCTAATGGTGCTGAACGGGTGAGAGGAGGGCCTTCCAGAAGTCACACAGCCCCATTGCACACACGGCAGGGATTGTTGCAGGAAAATCTACAATGGGTACTAGAACAGGAAACAGAAACTTCAGATTCTTGTAAGAACTCCCTCCATAACAGAAGACAACAGCCTCTGACTGCTGTCCTCTCAGCTGAGTGGTTAGGATAACATCTGTGGAAATGGGGCACACCCCACATGTGCTCGGCTTAGGGGACAGGCTTCTGAGTTTAGCGACCAATGCATAACCAGATGAAAGGACATTTACAGAATAGCCAACAAACGCCAAGGTCATGAACTCCAAGAAAGCACCACAGGCAGAATGGGACAGAGAAAACACGACAGCAGCTGAGATGGGCGAGGAGCACTGGCTGTTCTAGCAGAGGACTCTGGATGGATTCCCAGCACCCGCATGGCAGGTCACAGCCAGCTGTAACTCCCAGATACAACACCTGCTGGCCTCCACGGGCACCGTGGTCACACGTGGTGCACAGATACACATGCAGACAAAACACCCATACATATAAAAATAAAAGTTAAAAGAAAAAAAAAAACCCACAAATGTAATGTGGGATGAAGGACTTGATAGTGGAGCAAGAAAGAGCAAGGAGAAACAGACAACACCAAATGAGGCTGGCTAGATGCAGCAATGCCAGTTTCCTCATTTCTAGTTATTGAACTGTGGCTATGTAAAGTTTACTTGAGAAGCAGGGTGAATGGCATACACTTTTTAAAAATTCTTTATTAATTACACTTTATTCACTTTGTATCCCCCCTGTGGCTCCCTCCCTCCCCCCTCTGCACGCAAGCCCCTCCCCAAGTCCACTGATAGGGGAGGTCTTCTTTTCCTTCCTTCTGATCCTAGTCAACTAGGTCTCAATCATGAGTGGCTGCATTGTCTTTTGTGGCCTGGTAACGCTGCTTCCCCCTCAGGGGGAGGTAATTAAAGAGCAGGCCAATCAGTTCATGTCAGAGACAGTCCCTGTTCCTATTACAATGGAACCCACTTGGACACTGAACTACCAGGGGCTACATCTGTGCAGGGGTCTTAGGTTATCTCCATGCATGGTACTTGGTTGGAGTATCAGTCTCAGGAAAGACCCCTGTGCTCAGATTTTTTGGTTCTGTTGCTCTCCTTGTGGAGCGCCTGTCCTCTCCAGATCTTAGTGTTTCCCACTTCTTTCCTAAGATTCCCTGCACTCTGCCCAAAGATTGCCCATAAGTCTCAGCATCTGCTTTGATACAGGGCAAAGCCTTTCAGAGGTCCTCTGTGTCAGGCTCCTGACTTGTTCCCTCTTCTCTCCTTCTTCTGATGTCCAGTCTCTTTGCCTTTCTGGATAGGAATTGAGCGTGTTAGCAAGAATCCTCCCTCTTGATTAGTTACTTTAGGTGTACAGATTTTAACTGTGTGCATCTTTCTGCTTCACACATGCTGGAGAGGTTGTGGAGAAAGGGGAACCCTCTTCCACTGTTGGTGGGAACGTAAACTTGTACAACCACTCTGGAAAGCAATCTGGTGCTTTCTCAGACAACTAGGAATAGCGCTTCCTCAAGATCCAGCTATACCACTCCTAGGCATATACCCAAAAGAGTCTCAAGTACACAATAAGGACATTTGCTCAACCATGTTTGTAGCAGCCTTATTTGTAATAGCCAGAAGCTGGAAACAGACAAGATACCCCTCAGTGAAGGAATGGATGCACAAATTGTGGTATATCTACACAATGGAATCTTATTCAGCAATAAAAAACAAGGAAATCATGAAATTTGCAGGTAAATGGTGGGATCTGGAAAAGATCATCCTGAATGAGCTATTCCAGAAGCAGAAAGAGGCATACACTTTTATTGTATTGTTTTTTACAGCTTTCATAAAAAATTATCACCTTGAGAAGTTCAAACATTTACTGAGCATTTACACAAACTTGTGTGCCTATCTATCCCAGTGGTTCTTAAAAAATGATATATTATACAGTATACAGTGCTCTGTCTGCATGTGTGCCTGCATACGAGCAGAGGGCACCAGATCTCATTATAGATGGTTGTGAAGCACCATGTGGTTGTTGGGACTCAAACTCAGGAGCTTTGGAAGAGCAAGCAGTGCTCTTAACCTCTGAGCCATCTCTCCAGCCAGGATGCCCAGTGTTTTGCTTTGAATTTTAATTTTGTTATTTTATGTGTATGGATGATTTGTCTGCCTATATGCATGGCCTGGTGTGAGAGCCCCTGGAATTGATTACAAATGGTTGTGAGCCACTATGTGGATGCTGGGAATCCAACCCTGGTAGGTCCTCTGCAAGGGCAGCTAGTGCTCTTGAGTACTGGGCCATCTCTTCAGCCCTTCAGAGGCTGTTGGAGGACACTTCTCCTGGGAGTGGGGAACCCTTCGGATCTGATCCATGGTAGTGCTGCCCTTTAGAAAGAGCCCATGGCCCCAGACGCTGTGCTTCTTCGGCTCTGCCCTGGACAATGAGCATCTGACTCTCTGGCACCCCTCTCCTCATGGATGCCTGCAGTAACAAAGTGGAGCAGGAAACCAGGCCCCAGTGCTTGAAGCTTGCATTACTCTACAGCACACATCTGAAACCAAACCCTTTGTATGCGCAAACAAAAGCCACTTGTAATAGTCAATGTCCATAAGGAAACAGTCTAGGACCTGCCAGCCCCAGTTGTCGCCATGTTATCAGAATGTGAGTTCTGTCCTTGCTAACAGCCTGAGAGTTTACTTAACTCAAGACAGCTCTCATGTAGCTTTCCACCACGACTCAAAAAGGAGGCAAAGATACACAGAACAATCTTATTTTGATGGTCAGTGTCAGTGAAGTTGACAGGATCTTAAGTCACCTGGAAGGTGGGCCTTAAAGCAAACATGCGGGGGAGTGTATCACCTGGGTTAAAGGATGTGAAAAGATCCATCTTGCTTGCGGGTGGAACCTCCCTGGAACAATGCTCTGGAGTGTGTAAAATGGAGACAGTAAGCTAAGCAAAGTGTTCATTGCTCTCTCCTGACTGCTAGGACACATTGTCATGCTTCAAGCTCCTGCGGCCTTGACTTCCCACCATGATGGACTGCCCAGCTGTGAGCTGGAGGGGCCCCTCATCCTTCACCTGCTTCTTCAGGTACTTCAGGGAAAGGTGCTTGCTGCTTTCTATCGCCCATGGCTGCACCGTCACTGCAAAGCAGCGGCCTAGACAATCCAAGTGCGTGACACGTGTGGACGCAGAAGTCTGACGCGGGTTCACTGGGCTAAAAACCAAGGAGCCGACACGGCTTCCCTCTGCTGCTGAAGCGCGTGCTCCTCAGGCCTCTCCAGCTGTCTGAGATGACTGCAGTCCTCGGCACCTGGCCGTTCTAGCTTCAAGGGTGGCAAGTGCAAGACTAGTCCTTGACGCTTCTCTCTCCTAATCTCGTCTCCTTAGCTGCTATTTCAATAACTCATGAAAGGGCTGAGCCACCCAGGCAACCTATCCATTACTAGGCCAACTTAGCAGCAGCCTTCTTTGCATTCACACAAAGGACACATTCACATGTTCTGGGAATGATGATAGGGCATCTTGCAAGTTCATTCACCTGCTTACACAGTGAACTGTTTATAACTCTCTTAAGCATAAACAATGCTGGGGCTAGAACTCAAGGACATACACGTGTGAGACAAACACCCTACCACTGAGTTCCCCCGAGCCCCAACACTTTATTCTGAACCAGGCTTCTACTTGATAATGATCAGCAGCAGTCAACTGGGAAAATGCAGTACTTAAAAAATACTGGCTGGGAACAATGTCTAATAAAACCATGTGCTATCCACCCACTATTTCCTATGACAAGATTCAGGGTAGGTACAAGGCAGTCAATATTGAGTTTCAGGGAACTGTGTTAGTGAACTAACCAGGCGTTCTTCATCTTGCTGATAACATCTGCTATTAAAGAAAACACATTCTGAATAACACTGAAGTACATTAAGATTTTGTGAAATTTTGTCTTTAAAGATATTTGGATACATTTGATCAGTCTTTTTTTTCTTCTTGGTCAGTCTTTTAAAAATTCAACAAGCACCAGGCAGCGGTGGCACATGCCTGTAATCCCAGCACTCAGGAGGTAGAGACAGGCAGATCTCTGAGTTTGAGGCGAGTCTGGTCTACAACGAGAGTCCAGGACAGCCAAGGCTACAGAGAGAAACTGTCTCAAAAAACAACACAAAATTAAACCAGCATAATTATATAATATTAGAAACTTTAGAACATAAGTAAAAATTGATTTTTCACTTGAGATTCCAAAAGATTTGTAAAGAACTATTCAATTTTCTTTTAAAAATTGCTGTATTTTAAAATTTCTTATTAGATGTATTCATTTTACTTCATGTAAACATGAAACTTCATGTGTTTGCCTATATGTATGTATGTGCACCAGATGTATGCACAGTGCCTGCAGAGGTCAGAAGGGGTAACAGATCCCCTGGGAGCTAGGGATGGTTGTAAACTCCATGTTGGTGCTGGAAACCAAACTCAGATCCTCTGCAAGAGCAGCCAAGTGGATGTCTGTGAGTTCAAGGCCAGCCTGGTCTACAGAGTGAGTTCCAAGACAGCTAGGAATGTTACACAGAGAAAGATCACTTGTGAGAAAATATATATATTTGAATAATCATATATATAATTTGAATAATCAAATATATATAATTGGAATAATCAAATTATATATATCAAATATATATAAAGATCTATTTATTATTTATACAGTGTTCTGCCTGCATGTGTGCCTGCACACCAGAAGAGGGGACCAAATCTCATTACAGATGGTTGTGAGCCACACCATGTGGTTGCTGGGAATTGAACTCAGGACCTTTGGAAGAACAGCCAGTGCTCTTAACCTCTGAGCCATCTCTCCAGCCCTATTTGATTATTCTTTAGAAACAAGACTACAGGTTTGATAATTTCTGCAAAGATAAAGTCTAGTTTGTATCACAAGGCTAATTAGGGGCAAATGTCAATGTAGCCTTTCAGTGAAATGTTATGTGATTTTGTATGTAGGAAAACCCCCCATGACTTTTATAATTCTACTAATTTGATGCATGGAGCAAACCAATTACTTTTGAGTTTAGGTACACACATACAGAGGAATCTAGTTCTTGGCAAATATGTGCAGTGAATACAGAAATAAATGAGACAAAATAATTATTAAAATAAAAGAGACAAACCTTGAGCCAGTAGTTACTATTTTACGTATTCACATAAATACTGGTGACGGCTCACACTTGAAAACTCCAATTTACAAAAAGCATTAGAGTCAGAGAGGAGCTACAGGCTGCCACCTTTATTAAACACAAGGGCATCAGATATAAATGCCTATGGGTAAATTTTAATCAAGCAACAACAATGAAGTATTGCATTTAAACAGTTTAAACATTTACAAAAGCACTAAATGTTAAGGTTACAAATGCAGCTTTCACCAGTGAATTAGTTACTATTAGAAAGGGAATGGGGTTAAGCTTACATTCTACATTGCTGTGAGATAGAGAACCACACAGTCTTCAAAAATTGTTTCAAGTTTTACTCTAGTACAACAGACCTTAATAAACCCAGGCTAGAAAATGGCTTGACTTTTTAGTTTCAGTCCGGTGCCACAGCACAGCTGGGAGGACATACCTGAATGCCTTACTCTGTCGCCAAAAGGAGCGCGACAGCATCACAGCAGCCTTTGTCTCTGTGCATGCTGAACTTGGCTCATCTGTACCCCATGGTTCCACCCGAGTCCTAAGAGCTGAAACTACAATGTGAGCTCCAGAAAAATTCCATTTTTACATTTGCAATTGCATAAATATTTTACATAATTTTTACATATGCAATGAACTTTGAAACAGTAACAGAAAATGTTTTCTGGGTAGTTATTTTTAAAATTGACTTATTAATGATGATTTATAAATAGGCATGTCCACATTTTTTCTGATTCTAATATGCAGCTTGAAGTCTTTAGTAATAATTTTGATATAAAGTTTATAAATGTAATTAAAAGATACAGGTTTCAATACTACTGATCCATGTGTTGCCAGATTTTAAAGGAGAATTATGAAATAGACTATCTGAAGTGTTGGGTCCAATTATAGAGGCTGTTTGACTGGATTACCACAACTTCCCCTAAGTGCTGTAGAACACTCTCTGATGAAGGGTACTCATATTCTCTACAGAATCAAGAACACAAGAGAAAAAAACAATAAAATGTGATTATGCCAAATACCATATTCCAAAAAAACTTAGTTAGCAGGATTCTTTATTACTATATTATTTATTTTATAACTCACTTGCACGTTCTACATATTCTTTTCTTTTTCTTTTTCAAGACAGGATCTTACTATTTAGCTCTAGCTTTCCTGGAACTCACTCTGTAGACCAGGCTGTCCTTGAACTCACAGAGATATGCCTCCTTTGCCTCCTGAGTGCTGGGGTTAAAGGTGTGTGCCACCACTGCCCAGAATACGCACTCATTTACAGTATATGCACTGGTGAACCCTATCACTAGCTGAATTACTAAATTAGTAGCAGAAACAGGCCACCAGCTGTCACGTACCAGCGGCCATCGCAGTAGTCAAGTTGCTGTAGCTCTGGGCAGAATCCAGTAGAGCACCACCCCTGTGAGGTACCGAGCTACAGTGTGAGCGTGCCCCCACCAGGAACTTTCTGGCTGTGCTTTCCTTTGTATAACTGGCAGCCATCTGAAAACATCCTTGTTGAGTTTAACCAAGAACACTTTTGTCTGGGAGCAGTGCTATCTGGCAGGGTCTCTCAAATTCCTAGCTGTCGGCTGGCTAAAGTGGGTAACTGGGGGTTAGGCTTTTGAAGGTTGTGGCCTGGGTCTTACTGTTTATTTCTGTGCATCATGGTCTGCCCATGATCTAGGACTCATCTGCACACCTCTGCTACCACAGAGCCTTTCTGCCATGCCATCCCCACCATCACAGACTATATCCTCAGAACCGAGAGGCTAAAGCAAACCCTCCCTCCGATCCATTGTTTCTGTCAGATATGAGCATAGTAACTGATATACTGGCCTTAAAACCACAGTAACTATATAAAACAGTATACTTGTTTTAAAATGTAATATTTTACTATTGCATTGCTGTTTTAAGATCAACCACTTTGGGCTGGAGAGATGGCTTAGAGGTTCTGAGTTCAATTCCCAGCAACCACATGGTGGCTCACAACCATCTCTGATAAGATCTGGTGCCCTCTTCTGGACTGCAGGTGTACATGCAGACAGAATATTGTATACATAATAAATAAATAAATCTAAAAAAAAGTTATTAAAAAAAGATCAACCACTTTATAAAAGAAACTAATACATTTAATATTTAAGTATAAAAGCAAATGACTACATTACCTCTGTATTGCTTCTGTGCTTACTTAAGCGGGAAGCAGAGCTTTTCAGAAACGACGAAGTCATTTTTACAATAGTATTGATGGACAAACCATTCAGAAAACCCTTATGATTTATCCTCACTTCCTGAAGCGCCTCTATAATGTGGTCTCTATCCAAGAGGAAGACAGGCATGAGCAATTCTGCTTCTAAAACACCCATGTGTCACAAGTTCTGAATAGTACATTCTTACATAAAGGTATAAAATTAAATTGTAACTTCAGTTAGTACCTGCTGATGTCTGGATGCAGTTCAGCCAGTCTTTTCATGATCTTGGTGAAGCTACGAAGGTTCAACGTATTTGGAGGCATAAACTGAAAAGGTGTCTCAGGTGATAAATGACCAGATTCAATCTTGTTAAAATTTTTCTTGACACCCTAGATAAGTGAGATAAATATTGGGAATATGAGCCAAAGAGGCTTAAGAAATGTCTAGGAAGGTGGGAGAGCGAAACAGGACAGCATGTCAAAGACGGTAGGAGGAGCTTCTTCACCACACACTTGCACCCAGAGCCTGCCTAGGTGCTCTTTACACTTGCCCTCTGCCAGCCTCAACGCCCACAGCTCCAGCTGACTGGACCCAAGAGCGCTGTCTCCAGACTAGTGAGCACTGGGCTCACAGGACAGGGCAAGTCCATTTCCTACCTACGGAACCGGAACATGGTAACAAGCTCAGTCAAGCACTCACAGAGCCTTGAATGCTACAGCCAGAGCCATGTGCAGTGGGATGCAGCAATGAGCATAGAAACCCACATGAAGAGAGACAGGACGAGCCGAAGGATGCCGCCATGCACATGTGTACTACAGTGGGAGGACCACGGTTCCCACACACTCAGCTCAGCTCCTGGCATACTGCTTCTTCCTGTCCTACTGTGAACACTGCGGACCCTAAAACCCATCCTAAATATGAAGTGTCAATGAAATGAAGGGCAGCATTTAAAAAGGGACTGACACTGTCAAAGAGGCAAGGCGCTCATGAAGGCAGCAGATGGAGACCAACGGTGAGGTCACCACTGACAATGGACTGAACAGTTAAAGTGAGATTTTATAGAAGGAAGTCAGATTATAGGACAAAGAGGAATGATCAAATAAATGAAGACAATGCATATAAGTAGTTCACTGAAAAGCTTGGCAATGAAATCACAGGACAATTAAGGGCTGAGAAACCTACAAGTAGAGAAAGGTCTGAACAGAACTGCAGTCATCAATGCATTTAAAAAAGGCACCAGATAACTAAGAGTCAGGAAAGGACAGTGGAATCCACGTGCAGGCATCAGCACAGGAGAGTGGTGTGGGAATGCTGGTTCTCCTCTCTGATGTCAGTGGGAGGCACCTGCCCAAGCTCATGTGTCTAGTCATGAGCATCAACAAGACTGAATTTTATTGCACCTAAAAATATGGAATGCTCACTGGATAGCAGACATTTTGTTGAGTGAAACTGTCACATTCCAGGAAGTAGTTAAAACTGCAATGGGGTGAAGATGAGGGTTATGAAAATGAAATAACCATGTTTTGTAGTTTTGAGAAGGAAGAGGTTACTGTAAAAAAGAAAATACTGACGGAAGAGTGACTATAGAGTAGCATTGTCAAGAACAAAGACACAAAGACTGTGAAAGATGACAGGAAACCCAGCGAAACAAAAACGAAAAACTGTTTCTCTAAAGCTTGGTAGGGGATGTCTAGCTTTCTGAACACAGGAACTGCAGCTGTGCGAGAGCAGGTTGGGGCGGGACAAGAGAAGAAGCGCCTTCCTGGCTGCTGCCAGCACGAGGCTGCGTATTACACCAGCACGTGCAGCAGCACGGCACAGTCACGAACCACTGCTAATCAGTTAGGAAAACTGACCTGCTCCAAGGGAGGTAACTCACTGTCTTGTTCAGACTCCAGATGCCTTGGCCTAGCTCTCGGCAGTTTACAAGTGGAACAGGCAGAGGTGCCGTCTTTGTTAGTATTTTTCTCCAAATGATTCACACTAATGTTGCTCCCAGTTTTGGACAAAAGTGGTGGTGGTGTGTGTTCTCCAGGGATTTTCACCAGTCGCACGTTCACCGATTTCCCATTGATTTCTATACCGTTCATTTCCTTCACAGCCATCTTTGCATTACCATTTTTTGCAAAAGCAAGTGATGCATATCTAAAACATGAGAGCAGAAGACCAAAGTTCTTTGTTAATGACCAACTCCAATCTGATCTTGAAAAACTGAGGCAGCTTTCACAAGAACAACTAGCTGCTCTCAAAAAGGTTCTTACACTTGTTTGGGATAAGTAGGTGGTGTTTGTCATTGTTTTTGGTTTTCACTTTTTAGACACCATCTCTCTATTTAGTCCTGGATGTCTTGGAGCTAGCTAGGTAGACCAGGCCAGCCTTGAACTCACAGAGAATCGCCTGGCCCTGCCTCTCTCAAGGCTTGGGATTAAAGGCATGCACCACTAAATATGCAGGATAACTGAATACAGAACAAATGAAAGGGGAAATGGAATAATTTGTAATAATTATAAATTATTATATTAAAGTTTAATGTATTAAATTGCAGTCTATATGATACATACATACAGACTTGAACAGATCTCAGGCCTAGGGCCAAGTAGTTATACATTCTAAAAATTAAGGCTAATTTTTCTGACAAATATAAAGTGTTAGCTCAAAGGCTGAAATGTTAAAGACAAAATTTGAAAATATATAGCAGAATATATGAAAATGCATTTATAGTCAGTAGTGAGAAAATACTCAGATAAAAAATTAGACATCTAATCAGAATTTGAACTATGTAATTGAGAAAGCTGGGCCAGAGCTATCCTGTCAAGCCAGCAGCTCTATACAGCGTTAACAGATGTATACCAACTCTAAGCAAGGTTTTTCAAATATAAGCATACAATCTAAGTGACTACAACTAAGAAAATTAGTGCTTATTTTAATAAAGTTAAAACCCTAACCACAAGCAAGTCCTGCTTAATTGATGTCTGAACCTCTGAAATCAATAGCTATCATTTTTACAACAGAACAGTATACTATCTCCATGAAGTAATTATCACTGTAACTGGATATTCTGAATAATCTATAAGTATCGAAGCAGCAACACAAACACACGCACATGCGCGCACACACACACAGACACTTAAAAAATAAAACAGTGCAAAAGTAACTAAAGTCAGAAAGAACTGAGCTAAATATTACTTTCCAAGCCAACTTTCTCTGTCTCTATTCCTAGTACTTTACATAGTCAACTTCTAGTGTGAGAATAGTATTATCCTTAGCCTCACTTTACTAAGACATCAAGTAATGCATTTAAACTAGTTCAAGCGACTAAAGGAGCTGAAACTTGGCCCAGTCCCAGTTCTGGAGTACATCTTCTCAGTTAATGCACCCTGCTTCTGCTATGAAGTGGCACACAGCCGGATCAATACACAAAGAGCAGTTAACTCTCCCACACGCCGCAGAGAGGCCAAGTGTGACACTACACGCTGTAATCCCGGGAGCCAGGATTCTGACGACAGGATCAGCGGCCCGGACTGTACAGTACAACCACCTTCAGAAGCAAGGCCCCTGGAGAGGACCTGACGAGAGCCGCAGTTAGGCCCACAGCCGTCTCTGCAGCCCGGGGCCCGCCGAGGAGCAGCTCCCGCTCAGACATGCAGTCCTGCACACTGAATTTGGTAACATACCTGTCATTAGTAGGAGAATCATAAATTGAAATTTCAGAAACTTGGTATTTCTGGAAATGAGACCTTAAATCAGCCTAAAAGAGGAAAAAAATAAAATTTATGAAAGATTGAAAAAAAATCACAGTAAGTTATAAATTTGAAAGTGAAGCCTCCACAGAAATTCTGGGCATACCTCAGATACAGAAGGGCAAAGACCACCAACATGTATCAAAAAGCCTTTTCCTCTTCGAAGCAATTCAACATTCTTCATTTCTGATTATAGAAAAAAAATCACAGAAATGCCCACTGTGACATCAATGTTTTAAAGAAAAATGCCAACAGTGTTATTTACTGTTCCCAGTTCCAAAGCTTATTTATTGACATGTGTGTGTCGTATGTGCATGGTCACATGCCGGCCATGGTGCACCTGTGAGCAAGTCAAAGGACACCTTGTAGGGGCCAGTACTCTCCTTCTCCCATACAGACTATGGGAAATAAACTCCTTAGTCTGGAGAGCAGGCAAATGCACTTGCTCTTAACTTAGGTCCAATCTTTAGGACCCACATAGCGGAAGGAGAAATGGGCTCTTTCAAGTTGTGCTGTGCCCTCCATAAGCACGCCATGACACATACACACCCACACATGCCCACAAGATAAATTAAAAACAATGAAGTTAGAAAACACCTGAATTAAATCAAGCATGTTGGTACACACCTGCAACCCATCATTGAGAAAGCTGAGACACGAGGATCCTATGTTCAAGGCTAGCTAGGCTACACTCTGTAACTTTTTTTAAAGATTTATTTATTTATTAATTATACAGTGTTCTGTCTGCATGTGCGCCTGTGCAACAGAAGAGGGCACCAGATCTCATCATTGATGGTTGTGAGCCACCATGTGGTTGCTGGGAATTGAACTCAGGACCATTTGAACTCAGTGTTCTTAGCCTCTTGAGCCATCTTTCTAGCCCCATACTGATTAAAAATGAAAACAAAATCCCAAGTAGAAAAAGCAAACACCACAGACCGATGGCAAGAGTCTGTAAGTCTTTTCTGCATCTTGTTCGTATCACCCTAAAATAAAGAGGGTGGGCTACTCAGTGTCCAGTCCCTTGGAACTCATACGTTCACCACATGCATTTTTCCTATAAAACGTTCTCATATATTTATTTAGAACGGGTGAACACACAGGTTCTGAATGCCTGGTGTCATACTGGAAGCTCTCTCCAAGTCTACTTGTCAGGAAACCTTTGTTTCAGGCCAAGCTGCAGACCTTGTCAGGATATGTAACTTGATTTTAGGTATCATTATCTAAGATCATAGATTTCTTACTAGTTGACAGAAAGTATACAAATCTGCAAGCTGTATTTTCCTGGTCTCCTGTGGAGAAGACGGGGTGTGAAACAAGACCCCACCCACGGAGTGCAGGTTCCCGGCAAGCCCTCGTCCAGCACACAGAAGGTGTACATAGTCTTGTCTAAAGACACTTTAGTTTACCTTTTATAATTTTTATGTAATAACAGAAGACCTATGAATTCCATTTGTTGTAAGTATAAGGGTAGCTTAGCTTCTTGAAATGGCCATGAAAATTAAAGGCTACGACTTTTGTCTTTGGCAGTTTCAGTCACTCATCTATTAGGAGGCAGTGCTGGATCCAGGCCCAGGCCCTCATCGCTACTAAGACCTTGCCTCCCTCACTAACTTACTAATCTGTCTATCTTGTGATAATGTGTGTGTTTCGGAGAGAGAACAGCTAAGCTCTTTCTTCATGATGGAGATGCTGGCACTGTAGTCAAGAACTATAGCAGCAATGACTAAGACCCACAAGCCCCTCCTACCCATCTCCTCTCCTTTCACCAGTCCAAAAAAACTATGCTCAATTCTGTGGGCTGAGCTCTCTGTCTGAATAGATGAGAATTTAATAACTACTTGTTCTTTAAAAAAAAATTCACCCTCAACTGGACAATTTTTTTTCACTTAAAAAAAAAAAATAAGGAACAGGTACAAAGAGGAACATACTTTTATAGCCTGTCTCCCAAAACAACACAGAAAAAGTAACCACCATTTTCAGGTGAGATAGGTTATATATTTTTTTTTCTGTAAATTGTTAAGAACCAACCTAATGGACTCTTTGGATCCCATTCATCATTTTCTGTTATGTTTTCTTGAGTCCCGGAGAAGTCAGCTCCAGTCAGCCTCTCTGTCGCATCAAACCAGTCTTCACTTACTTCACGGACATTTTTGTACTCTAAAGCATTGAGCACAAAGAACGATCAACTGCACGTGTTTACCTCTCAGGAACACATTTATACCACCTTTGTCAAGACAAGGATGACATTTATGAGGGACCTAGAGAGGAGCGCCATGGAATAGCGAGCCAGGTAGTCTCTGCCCGAGTCTTGTCGCAGGCACTGAACACTAAGCTCTTTTCAGTCAAAACCCAACAAACATGCTGTGTTCCTTGCTGTGCTTTGGCTTTGGAGACAGGGTCTCACTTGGGCGCTCTGGTTGCTCTGGAGCTCACTCTATGGGCCAGGCTGACCTCAAACTCACATCCTGAGACTAAAAGTATGCGCCACCTTGCCTAACACATTCAGTACTTGTTTTCTGGAAGCTACACAAAAAAAAAATCTGTTTTCATCCTTACCTTTGTCATCAAGTTTCAGCTGGGTAAAGTCTATGTTTATATCACCATTTTTAAAGACAGCATTCATGGGAGATTTGTCTTGCTTAAGATGACTATTGACAGATACATAAGACATCTGAAGATTAAATAAAAACAACAAAGATAAGGACTAACAATCACTGCATTCTCCCTGGTGACAGGTACTTTTCACTTACATTATTCTGCCCTACAAATAATGAAGGCTATGACAAAAAAAAAAAAAAAAAATCATTATCTTCTGACTTTGTAGTGACAATATCAGTAAAGATTTTTACTTCAGTAAAATTTGGGTTTTAATTCTATGTACAGTGCTGGTCAAATACTACTGTTATTTATGATTTTTTGAGATAGTAACCTTTTATACATTTCCGTATGTAAGCTTTTATTTATGGGAAATAAGAGCCCTATATGTAGACCTGAGTTGTTTTCTACATTGACATTTTTTGAAAAGGCCATTTATAGGCTGGAATGTACTTCAAGGTAGCGTTTACATACAAAGCGTGAGGGTTTATGTTTGATCTCTAATACCACAGAAAGCAAACAAAGACCCAACCAGATCCCAAAAAACTCCAAACAAAACCCCAGAGATATCTAAAGAAGGTCACAGCCATCAGAGGTAACATGTGCCTGTGCTACACTGTGAAGACAGTATCTAAACAGTGTCCTCACAGTCAGTCAACCTAGCTGCAGCCGCATCACTACCTCCGGGGCTAGTGAGAGGCTCGTGGGGTACTGGTGCTGGCCACACAGCCTGGATCCCCGAGTCTGATCTCCATGGCCCACGTGGTGAAAGGACACAACTGGCTCTGGAAGCTGCCCTCTGCTTTCACATGACCTGTGACACAAACATGCCTACACACATGTAAGTACAAAATAAAAAGTCCCTTCATCCTGTTGTATAGTTCATTGAAGTTTGAACTCTGTTACAGGAAAGAATTTTGTTTTTAGTACCAGGGATGGAGCCTCCTGCACGCCAGGCAAGTGCTCTCTCTACAGAGCTGTGTTCTCAGCACCACTCCTTGTTTTTTAAGGTTTTTTTTCCCCTGAGTCAACAGGCTATTACAGTTACACTGCCAGATACATTGGGACAACAGCATGGACTGTTAAATGGCTAAATTATTTTAAAAATATACAACAAATCTGAGCATATGAAATTTAGCTTGGAAGCTATTATTTCTTTTTAAAGAAGAATTTTCTACTGGACGCTCTCTCAATGTCATTTGTTTGCATACTTTCTTAGTAGAAACTATTAAGAATTTTACTTTTCATTCTGAATTTTAATCAGGGAAGCAGGACTGGCTGTCTTCTCATTGGCTAAGGAGAAACTCAGGTTTCGGCATCACTCACAATTTTCAGTGTGTTCTTTATTCATTTCTTGATTTTTCAGTCAGTGTCTCACTACGGGACATGACTATACTGGCCTTAAACTTGTGATCCTCTTGCCATTGTCTTCTGAGTGCTGAGATGATGGACAGGGCCACCATGCCTGGTCTGCAATGTGCTCAGTAACAAACCACCTTTCTTGGCTGCCACATTACAAGTATTTCCTTGGGGATGGGACAGACTGAGGGAAGCCCAAGACATATTTCATATGGGAAGAACTAACACTTTCCTTGCCCAAAATAAAAGAAATATTACTTTACATCACAAAACAAACAGTTAAACAGCAGTGTGGCCCTCTAGCTCCCAGCACATGGCGGCCTGCCTGGACTGCTCCTTTCGCCTGCTGTCTCCAGGTTCATGTGAATTACATGTCACTTTTCTCACCACAGTTGATGACTACTGCCTCAACAAGACTGGACCTACGCAGGCCACCCATCCCTTCTGCTCAATCCCGTTCCTCAAATGGGAGCGCAACAAGTGAGTCAGTGCGTGGGAATGGGCTGTGAGGGTTTCTGCGAGTTACGGATTTAAGCGGACGAGATGACTGGGCAAAAGCATAGCTGGTAGAGCACTTGCTGTGCAATCAGAAGCCTGAGTTTGAGTGCGTTTTTACCCATGTAAAAAGCTGGGCATGGTGCAGGTCCAGCACCGAGGAGACCTATGAGTGACCAAAACCATGTGAAAACCAGGCAAGGTAGTACAGGGCTGTCACCCCAGATCTCTACTGCAAAAGGGCAGGTGGAGCTAGCCTGGCAGAGTGCAGTGGTGAGCCTGAGGCCCAGCCTCAAGATGGAGGTTGAGGACTGACACCAGAGGCCGTCTTCTGACGTGCACATACCAGCCCTGGAACTTGTCTGGTGTGACAAGTGTGCTCTCACCCTGACTCCATGAATCCACATGTTGGTGGCATCTGAAAAGTAACATCTCAGTCTGACCTCTGGCCTCCACGTGCATATGCACACACATGCGCACCCATCACACCAACAGACAGGTGTCTCTCTTCAGTTCTTACCTGGGGTAAGGTCTTTTGTAGGCTTGGAGAAATATTAACATCAGGTACACTTTGATTAACCAGCTCAGAATTTGCTCCTGAAAGGCTGAATAAACATTCCTTAAAGAATTTATCAGTAGTCTCAAAAGAAACAAAACAAAATTTAGATATATGGCTTAAATAGTTTTGAAAAGCAGGTAAGTTCTATGTTAGATAAAACTATAATTTATAATTACCTGTATCCTTCTTCTTTCATTAGCTGAAAATGGGAAAAACAGATTTAGTATATTTTCTGTCTGAACAAAGTAAACATTTTATTCTAGAATACATACATACCCTGGAAGCAAAATCGGAGAAGGCAGATAACAGTTTGGACTCCATCGACAGTGGAGGCAGCTCTTCCAGCGGGATGCCCTTGTGAACTTTCTCTTTCAAGTTCATGTACCTCACTTTCAAGTCTTTCAGAACAGACAGCAGTGCTGACCCTAATTCCTTCTTAGCAGAATCACCTGGTGAATTCCTGTTCAAAGTTAAGTTCACAGAACCACATTATTTAGGCTCAAGTCACTCACCTAACACAACACACTATCACCCACTTAGTTCTAGCTCTACCAGATCTTTGTTTTACCTGTTACGTAAATGAATCAAGGTAGATCCATTTTCTAGGGGTAGTGTCAGCCACCCCCAAGAGGCAAGCCAGAAAGCCTGCGAGTGTCTTTCTCAAGAAACCCCAACTGACTTTACTTTTCTCTGAATTTATAATCAAACACTAGATTTTACTGGATTAATCATTTCCACCACAACTCACCATGACATTTAATTGTGTTTTATTTTTGATTTTTGAATCAGATCTCAAAATTTAGCCCTGGCTGGCCTGGAACTCACAGGTAGAACAGGCTAGCCTCTAACTTAGTCATACCCCTGCCTCTGCTTCCCAAGCCCTAGGATTATAACCATACCCAGCAACAGAAGTTTTTTGTTTTTTTTTTTAATTTATTACTTTTAAGGAAACTGATAAATCTAGTTATAACCTATGTTTTTTCTTTCAAAAGTTGAAATTAGATTTCTAGAGTAACGTCAGAGTGATGAATAAGAAAATCTAGATTTAAAATTGACGAGCACCTATTGGTTCCTGTTCTGTTTTCCATTACAAGTTTGTAAATGTGACAACAGTGTTGATGGCACATCTGATAGCAAATATCCAAAAGGTGCATCTCTGCCTTCATGGCCCTCTCAGTGGTTTTCTCACAGCACTTTGATGATGAGTTAATCTCTTCACAAAGCTGAAATGCCCTTTAAAATAAAAAGGCAGAATTTGATGAGATTCTGTACATTTTCAAGACAGGGTTTCTTTGGGTAGCCCTGACTGAACTTGGTCTGTAGATCAGGCTAACCTTGAACTCAAGAGATCCATCTGCCTCTGCCTCTTCAGCACTGGGTCAAAGGCCTGTGCCACCACTGCCTGGCCAGATTTTAAATCTCTTACATTTCTTGCGTGTTCTTATATTCAGGTTTAATTTAGTTCCTACTAAAAAGGGGAAACTTCTAGGAACACATCATCAAGTGAAAGCCTAGCAGCTATGTGTATTCTCAGCTGGAGGCCGCCTGTGCAAACTACCGTTTCTCCCAGAGGAGGTTCCACCCTCAGGGCCCGGCTCTGATGGCTTTGTTTTCAGTCTCAGTCAAGATCTGGCCAAGCTTTTTATAGTCACAGGCATTTTAGCCAGAAACTCGTGTTAAATATATTTAATAGAAAATAGACACGATTTACACTTTTCTTAATTATTAAGACATTCATAAAAGCAATATTTTGCTGTATTTCAAGAAGCCTCGAGCCAGACCAGTGAGAAGGCTCAGTGGGTGAAGATGCTCCCTTCAAAACTGACAGTCTGAGTTCAATCCCTGAGCCCCACGCCATGGAAAGAGAGAATCAAATCCTGCCATCGTCCTCTGACCTCCACATGCACCTCCATCTCCACTAAAGAAATATAATTTAAAAGTTGTTTTCTTTAAGAGCCCAAGTCACTAGAGTTTCCAGTTTAAGAGTTTTTGGAGATTCCCTCAAGTACCAGTTTCATCTACTGCTGTTTTGGAAGTTTAATTTTTAAACTTAATGTTATAGCTTTGGGATACTAGACTAAACTCATTTTTTTAAAAAAAATGACAAAAACAGCCAGATGCAGTGGTACACGCCTATAATCCTAGCACTCAGGAGGCAGAAGCAGGTAGATCTCTGGGAGTTTGAGGCCAGCCTGGTCTACAGAGCGAGTCCAGGACAGCCAAGGCCACACAGAGAAACCCTGTCTCGAAAAACCAAGAGACAAAAACAAACATACAAACAAACACATGATTTTAGAATACGGCAATATATTTGGCTCTTTTTTCTTCTACTCTCACTTTCTGACTTTGTCTTTTGGATCCTTAATCAATACAAAATACAAAGTAAAACCAATGATGAAAGTTTAACAATACTTTAATGTTATAGGTATTCTTTAAATATATGGCATTTTCCCTAAGGTGCTAGCTTGTTTAATCTTCGGGTGATAAAGCAAAAGAAGAAAACCAAGTTAGTATGGACGAGGCCTGAATGAGGGAGGGCGATGTCCCCTGAGGGAGGGTGATGTCCCTGAAGGTGGCGCCTGCAGGCTCTTCAGGATGAGTCCTAACATTTTATGTTGCTTTAGTGTCTACGTGCTAGAAGGAGCAGGCAAAATGTCAAATTTCTTAAAGTCCTTTTAGTTCTACATGGTTAAATACGCTACAAAGAAAATAAATACAACTTTGAGCTTTTCCTTCCCATGTACATGTGTGAGTTTATACAACAGACCTACCTCTCAGGATGTTTCTTTCTGTCTGTAGTACCCGATGTTTTTCTTAATTCCAAGGAACTCTGTAAACAATGTAAAATAAAAGTATAAATATATGACAAAAATGTTACACGTGGAGTTCCAAAGTGGTAAAATGTGAAGCCAAACTTTCCAACAATTTTGTGACAACGTCGGCCAGCAGAAGACAGAGCTGTGGAACCCTATCACCTTCCCCTGCTAGCATCTGCTACTAAGACTCCAATACTCCAAACCCTGCCACATCTACACAACTTTAGAATCTGTAGAGTAGACTAAGATTTTGATATTACTGACTTTACCTCATTCAGAGAATTCCTATTAGGCTTCAGGCAGTCAACTGAGAGTGACCTTTCCGATTCTCTTGACGCAGCCATCCAAGCGTCTGTGCGTGCCTGTCCACAAGACCAGTCTGTGCGTGCCTGTCCACAAGACCAGTCTGT